GTGCCACGCTGCTGGCTCTCAGCACGCAGAGGGCGGGCAGCCTCCGCCCCCACGAGCAGAGCTGGAGCCCGCTCCCGTGAGCCACCCCAGCACCAGCTTGCAGAATCGGGCCCAAGGAGATTAAAAGCCTCGCTGGCTGGCCTGCAAGATCAAAAAAGCTTTAAAACCAAACGATGCCATTGGGCCAATCTGCTGAGCAGCACCTTTCCTGCAAAGGGCAGGAGGGCAGAGCTGCTCTCCAGGAGAACGGGTCTGGAGGTGTTTTGGTACAAGTCAGCTGCTGCAGGCAGGAGGGTTTGATTCTCTTGAGGGTCACTACAGGCTAAGTTATCTGGAAGATCCCTGAATGTGCAACGAAGGACTTATTTCGAGGAGGACAAACGAGCTTCTGATCTGCTAGTGATCTGGCAGGCTGCTGGCTCCACAGCCCTTCGCCAGCTCCTCCTAGGTGGCCAGGAAATACCAACGGGCGGCTCCCAGCACCACTGCCACGCATCATCCCTCGCCCCGCCATGCCTGAGCTGGGCGTTCGCTCTGTCAGTCCGGTCTTCACCCATGTTACAGTTCCACTTTGACTCCTTTGATAAAAGGGAGACCCGACGGCACCTTCCTTTTGTACTCCAGGTACTCTTCTCCGAAGAAGTGAATGAGGGTGATCTCCTCCTCCTCGATCCGCTCCCTGAAGAAGCGCCAGGACGCCAGCGTGTAGCCCACCACGCAGATGGGATTGCAGAGCAACACCTGCCAACAGACACCCATGGTTAGCGAACCCTCGCCTCACAAAGGCACCGAAGCTGCTCTCTGTCCCCGCATGCTCATCACCCTTCGTTAAGTTTGCCATGAGGTCTAAACACTCTCCAAAGAAAAGATCCAGGTGCTTTTTGTGGAATTTCATTCCAGGTAGAAATTAGCGCTTATGAAGAAAGCAGCCTGCCGGCAGCTGCCGGTTCCAAGAGCGGTGCCTGGCTCGAGAGAGCCCGTGCGTGGCATCGCTGCTTCACACGCAGCCTTTATGATCTCTCTCTGGAGAAATAAAACCAAACACCAACCTCCAGCCAGCCACAAGAATAGCACAAGGAAGGCAGTGCTGAGTTACAGCCCAGCTGCAGCTGGCTTCCCGCTCACCCCCGGCTACAGCTCTGGGCACTCTTAGAAGGAGCTTCCTTTGCTGTCTGGCACAGGACTGGGATTTGGCAAGAGCAAGACGGAGTCTGACCGCTTGCAGAAGGAATTTTGGCTGCAGGGATGCGAGAAAACTCTGGACATCAGCTTTAGGCTGCCAGCAGAACACACCCTGAACCTTCAAGGGCGTCCTCACTCAAACCCCATCCCTGCCACCCTTGCTTACTCCACACAGAGAGTTAAGATGACGGGGCCTTCTCAGACCCCGCCTGGGGTTCCCTGACGGCTGTGTGCTGGTGGGAGGCATGAGGGGTCAAAATCCATGCCTGGGCCACCCTGCCACTGACCACCGGCACTTTGCATCCCATTACAGGCGTGGAGCAGCGTTAAGAGGAAAGACCCGGGTAAAAAACGAAAGCATCTAAGCACATTGTATACAGTACCTGTGTTCCAATACTCCAGTAAAACCATCCCACGTAAGACGGGTGCCGGAACCACCCATACACCCCACTTGTCACCAAAGTATGAGTATCCGATTTCTCATTCTGAACAATATGGTTGAAGTTGGAGCCAGCTGTGAGCATGGCCGCTTTCCTCAGACAATCCCCAAAGATCACCATCAACAACCCTACAGTACTCAGCCAGGTGATCTGCTTCAGCTCTGCAAGTGAATAAGGATGGGTCACAACAGGTTCGCACAGATCTCGCTCGCGGCACGGAGGGAAGGGTCAGCAGGTGGGCTTTTCCCCCCATCTCCAAGCATGACAACACATAAAACACAGCCAGCATTCCACACACCGCCATCCCGCCATCAAACTGCAGGAAAACAGCGTTCTCTGCCTCAGAGTCACCCTCACCTGGGGTCTGTACATCCTCACGGCAGATTGCCCTACAGGGAACCCGGTGCCGAGGCAGAGCCCGGCTTTATGGAGGTGAAGGACAGCGAAGCGGATGCACCCGGGCTGGATACAGGGAGCTCTGCAGGCCT